GAGACTTTGTTGAATTGTAATTTTGTGTTTGTAATTCTGTACAGTTAATTAAGTTATTGTTAATTGTTATTGGTTTATTGTATGTGGTTATTGTTCGGGAAGAACAATATTAAGGAGGGGCAGTGTTGCGTCATCGAGATCATGTGATTCTCACGCCCTCTACTTTCTAGAACTATCCTGTACTTTGGCGAATTCTCTAGTATTTACTAGATAGGGTAGTCTGGTATATATATATAAGAGGGTGACAACGTGATGCAATAATGTAATGTGTGTGTAGATAGTGAGTAATTGAACTGCAGTCAGAAGTATTGTAGACGTTCGTTGATATAGCATTTGTTTTAGCGCGATTGTTGAAAATAAGTGTATCGTAAAGTTGTATTCGGAAAGAATAAACCAGTTTTATTAAGTAAAGACTTGTGTCGTCAAAGTTTCGTCGGAACGAAGTTACGGAAAATCAATTAACAAACGGAAACGTAACAATAGTGTTGATGAATCGTCTTTTTACATACTTAACAGTGAGAATAGTAGGACTAGGGGACATAACTATAAATTTTGGCAGGATAGGAGTCATCATCAGCAAAGACAGTTTTATTTTTCTAACAGGGTAGGTGGCTTTTGGAATGAGTTGCCTTCAGATGTTGTGGAGGCAGTAAATTTAAGTGAGTTTAAGAGAAAGCTTGGTAAATATATGAATGATAAGGGCTGGCTTTAAGATTTTTTTTTTCTATAATAGTTTTAGTTTAGTTTAGAGGATGGGACAGCTAAGATGGAACAATAGGTCCTATGTTGTCCCAAAACATTGTGTCTGGTCTTCACAATGGATTATAATTCATAGTTTCAGGTGTAATACCATCATTTTTATGTAGCTATAAGTTTGATAATCAAGAACAACTCTACTCTAAAGCATTGATGTTTTTAAGAGATTAATTATATACAAATAAATGCAACCAATTTGCAAAACTACTTTAATTAATACCTAATAACAGTTTAATGGTAGTTTGATGATGTGTGGATTTATAACACAACACCATGACTAATGAAACTGACATATGTTTCAGATTAAGTGTTGTGGTATTCAAAGGTTATATGATCTATGTCACAATGAAAGGTTTACAGACCTAGTACATGGAAGGACAGGTGCAGCGACTTTAGGGAGAATGAAAGAAATGAAACATAGTGTGAACATGGAATGCTGTTCACACTATGTCTTACTTCAAAAACAGAAGAATGACTTAAATAGTGGCTGATTGTGTAATGAATAGAACTATTGCAATGTTACTTTAATGTAAAAACCAATCAATGAACTGTATCCAAATAAGAAAAGTAAATAAATTTACCGAAATGCAGAATAAGTGAAAGAAGATGAAAACAAACTGTTTTCAAACAGACTGGAAATTGTTGGTCCAATTAATTAAAAAGGAGATACACATGATCAGTGGGTATCACAATACACAGGACTTTGAAAGCAAGTTTTGACTATTTCAAGATAGTAATGAATCTGACTGAAAATGTCAAACTTTTCTCACAGTCCACAGTCTTTCTGCAGCTGACCAATAACAAAATTGGGCCACAAGTATCAACAAGGATTTATGCTCCATGTGACAGTCATAAAGCAATCCTATATAAGCAAGGTAATGAACCACCAGTCCATAGACCAGTGCTAGTCTGCAGTTATGCTTATGGCAGTCTGCAAGCACATCCCGTGAAAAAAAAAAATGTATAATAATGATAATCAAAAATATGTATAATTATTTCTCAGTTTCTGAATAAATATTCATATTTCTAAAGTCTATAGCTTATACTCCTAATGGTCAGTAAGCTTTTTACTAAACTTTTTTTTAGTTCTGTGAAGTGAAAAAGGTTGGGAATCATTAACACAATACAACTGTGCCATGAAACAGTAGACAGCCTCTTCAAGTGAATCCTACTATAAAAAGTAACCCCCTAGGATTGAATTAGCACACAGCCTGTACTGGATTTACGTTGTTTTTTTTATTATAACATTATAAAAAATTTTAATTTTGTAAATATGAAATATTTACTACAGGAAAGTAAGATATATCTGCATTCACAATCCAAAGAATACTAACAACAAAGATAGTATTATTTTTACATTTATATTATATCCTACTTACATGACTCCTGGTGTTAAGAATGATATACATAGGAATTTTGAATAGAGTGATGACACAAAGAGAGATACAACTGATTCATAATCCATCAAGCTTGTGAATAGTATATCATAACGCTTTCAAAGTAATCATAGCAACTATTTCATTGTTCTAAAAACGCGATTATTTTACCACAAAACAACAACAACATTAGACTAGATAACCCTACACACACACCCTTACCTTAAGCTTTCTAATTCCCTCTTTAACAACATGAATTCCTTTAGGCTGGTCAACCACTGTGTTACCTAAAAACTAAAGGAAAAAACATTAAAAGCTCTTTGGTATAAAGTGTTTCAAAGTTTCAAGCATTTATATTAGTGCATAAAAAAACCTTGCTAATATAGTAATGTCATGAATAAATTTTATTAATAAATATTTTTATTATTTCTCCATGATTTGATTTCTAACACAAACCGTAACTGAAACTGGTACGCTCCTAAAGAAACTGTAAAGCGAACGTTGGGGGGTTCAATTAAAGAAGATAAGTTAGTGTTATAGGGTCTTTTATTTCTAGTATTTAAATATCTTTTATACACCAATATCCACTACAGAAATTGAAATAAGCAATTTGTTTGCCGTAAGGAAACATTTATCAGCTTTCGACAGTTTCATACCAAACTTTCAAACGTAACCTTGTTTTAAATCTCCTAAATAGAGCGAATAACAAATGTTCTGATTACTTATGTTTTCACTCTTTAATGTCTAAAATTCATAAGATATCACAAAATAATGTCTATCTCATAAAATTCTAATACTCCATCACCTACCAAGAAGACACTCACTGTCCCAAAATATCGCGATGATGACATATCCTTATCGAAACGTCGTCAACTCGTAATGGTTTTCTTCGTTATTCATTCATGCAGTCTCAAAACTTTGATTAGTTTTAAAGTGGGTTCTTCATTATCAAACACCCGCTAACTAGTTCTTATCACTCCTTTTATGGTCAAATAAAATTGTAAACTCAAATCTCGAATTCAAAAAATAATCAAAACACACTTGTCCTTAAATCGAACAACGTTTAATTTAGAACTTGAAAGTTCTTTAAAACAACAGGCACTTTACATATTCTACCCACTCGTGGGCCAGATATAAATTCATTTGGGGTAGCTGTAAAACTACATATCACATATAAAAAAGGAAGTTCAGTAGAAGCGGATATAAGCCAGCTGATTTATCTGAACTTTCTATCCAATTACATAGTAATAACAAAAACCACCCCATACCTCTTCAAACTTTGAAATTATTGACTCTGAAACAACAGGTTACGATTTTTTTATCAAAGTAAACCTTTCCATTTTCAATTATCGACCAGTACTAAATAATAACTTCAGTACTGTTACGTATCTGGTCGTTTGTTAATTTCCGGTATAAATTCTCCCCAAGAAACTTCAGCGATACAAGTCCTTTCTTTAAATAAA